TCTTTTTTTTCCCTTGTCCAGTTCTTTGTACATTTTCTACAGTACTTTATACCATAAGGAAGTTCAATTATAGTTTTTAACTTGAGCCTCATTGTCAGGAAACAAACCATTTAAAACAGGATATGTCAATCCTCTTTCCTTTGTAGGAAACCGCAGTTTGGAGGTACTTACACTTACTCGACTGTCAAGATGCTTCAGGTGTCTTTCTGTAATTAATTTTCACATATTCTTCTACACTTCTCTCATCTCTTCTTCAATGCATTCCTGAATCAATTTTTTGTCTTCCATCTTCTGTCATTGTCCCTGGCCAGTGAGCTGTTTGAGGAACTTTGTATCATGTCCTCTGCAGAGATTATGGAGGAGAACAGTGAGGTGTACAGCAAATCTTGGAGTATTGCTTTAGAACTGCACTCTCCTGGCTTCATAGTCATAACATGCCTTACAGGCCAGGAGGTGCCTTAAATCACATAGTTTAATCTACTTGCTATCACAAAGTCTACTTACTGCCATACTCCAACCTGTTTTGGGTTGGCCCAACAAGTTTATTTTGGCATAGATTTTCTCTCTGAAAGGTAGCCAAACTTCAAATAAAGACTTCAACTGAAAGCTAATCTAGGCCCTCACCTGAAGAGCCTCTTCCACTGGCTAATCACTCTCACTGTAAAACAAGTTCTGTTTCTGCCTGGCTTTCTACAGCTTGTCATCTGTTTGGGAGAGGCAGTTTTAGGTTTGAGAAATCCAAGGATTTAGTTTCTGAAGTGCATCTTCTTATGGACCTTTAAAAAAAAAAAAAGGCAGATGCGATCTCCTGTTGTTCACTCTACCGATGGGATGATAAAAGCAACCAATCTCTTTTAATACAAAATTTTGTTAAAGCAGTGATTTTTAGATGCAGGAAAAGTCATCTATATTTATATAGTTATTCTGTTTACTTGTACCTTTGTATATATTACCAGCAAGTAAGTCTATTCCTTCCAAGAGCTTTTCCCTGTAGTATCAGTAGAAGGCATGATATCTCATTTAACAAGAGGAAAAAGGGAGGTAATATGGGGAAATAAAAGGTAGCGTAAGGGATGGCAAAGCTTGATATTTTTCAGCAAAAAAAAGGAGAGACTTGAAGCAAAGGAAAATAATGAAATAATTTGAGAAAACACTTCACTAGAAAATGCAAGTGGTCTAATCAGGAAGAAGAAAATTCAAGAGAGAGTGAAGAAATAGATGAATTTTAGAAACAAATCACCGAAATTACAGCCTTCAGCACTCTTATACTTGATTTCCTAAGTTGTCCATAAATTGTTTGAGATAAAAAGGTATAAACACAGAAAATGTATGTGTAGTGCGTAGTTACTTCAGGTTGTGTGTCCACACTTCAGCCTGAATTCCTTGTTCCCACTCCCTGTGTGTTGTCGTTGTCTGGCCATTGCCTAGAGTGCAGAATTTGTCCTCTGGGCAGGAAAGAGGAGGTGCAGAAGGGGATAATCTTACACTCAGGCTTTGCTCCTGTGGGCATTTTCAGTGCTACCAGCTCATACTACTTGCACCTCCAAGCTCAGGCCTGGCCTCCAGGCCAGCTACCTTGACAGTGTGGACAAAGTCAGGGTGACCAAAGATGATTTACTACTACAGCTGTGAGATCTGCCTGACGGAGGTGGCCCTTGTGTGGTCCACTGCTTCCAGTTTGCTGTCAAATATCTTCGTCAGCCTTCAGGACTGACCAGTGTGTATTCGGACTGGCATGGCCAAGAAAAGATCTGTCCTCTGCAGATAGGGCTGCAGCAGGTTGGGCTAAAGAAGGTAAAAACACAGAGCAAGGCCTGATAACAAGAACCTGAATGGTCCTAAAAGGCTAGGGTCTTGGTTTTATATCTAGTAACCTGGTAACTGAATCTAGAAGGAACTTTCCTGACTCGGATCACTTCCCTTACACAGGGGACTCCTTACACTGAATGCTTGGCACTTTTATGAAAGCTTAGGCTTGCTTACTTGGCTGGGAACAGATACTAGGGCTTTAGTTTCACTGTAAAACAAGGAGTTTCCAACTGTTTATCCAGCAGTAAGAAGTTAACCAAAATCTGGGCACAAAAGCCCTTGAGCTAGGTTCTGATAGTCTTCTAATGCCTTCCCACATCAATCTAAGTCTACATTTTCTGGCTTGTGTACTGACTGCTCATTCACTGTCTGTATGCTTAAAGCCGCCTCCTGGCATACACACACCTAACATTTCAGTTGTTGTATCATGAGACTCCATTTCTGCACTGCTCTGCTCCGGGCAGTCAGCTCCAGAAGTCCCAGTCTGCTGGCAGTGGACCAGAGGATCCCAGTCTGGGCTGTAGCTAACTACAGCAGGGAACGTTCCGCTGGAAGGGTCATTCAGCCTCCATACTTGTGTGGAAAATTGCCGGGGAAGGAACTGGCATCAGGATGGCATGAGTAGGTTATAAAGCTGGAGAATGCCTACTGCAAGGCAAGCAATGGTAAGTGTGGGTAGTGTAATTCTCTGTCTACTTGCTTTTACTGTAGGGAGTTTGTCCCACCCTGAGTCTTTAAGCTGTTCACCCTAGGATATCTGGAATATAGAGCCTCATAGGCATGCAGACACTTGGCTTTCACTGGAACTCCCACACACATGTCTTATAGGGACAGGACCTGAGCACCTTCTCAGTCCCTGCATGAAATGTGCGTCAGTGCAGTCCCAGTATGGCCATGGATGTTTAGATAAAAGGTGTATGTAGCTCTGCTGAGGAATACTCCAGAGTAAGGGCAATGAAGACGCTCGAGGACATGCTGTTACACTGCTCAAATTGTCTCCTGCGTTGCACTGCTCCTTTAAAGAAAGGTTTTATTTCCTCTTCTGGACAGCTGCACCTCAGGAACAGGCGCAGGAATGTGCTAACGTGCATGTGTGCTTATACAGGTTTGCAGAGCTTGTAAAAGTCTTTGAGAAACATTTGGCAATGAAAGGCTGCATCTGAGCATGTGTCATTGTAACCTGTATGAGCTTTATAGACGCACAGAAAGTAAATTAACTGCCTATTTTAAAAGCATGTGTCAGAGTTTCCTTCATACAATGTTCTGTCATACTCAGGCTGTGAGAAAAAGTCCTCCTCATTTCTCCTCATCTGTGCTCAAGTTAAGATTTGTAGGGTGATGTTATGGCATGAACAAGCCTGCTGCCCCCCCTTTATACCACCATATTTTAATGAAATGGTTTCATGTTAAATCAGGAATGATATTAAGATAAAGATCATGCATCCTCCAGCTTCAAATGTTTATTTCCTCTGAGAAGATGTGGGATTTTGTTGTCACTGTCAGATGCTATCTCCAATCTCAGCCTACTGCAGTCTGCCTCGAGCAGGTTCTCAAAATCCAATCTCAAGCACAGGGAGGGGACTGCTTCTGATGATGAAGCTGTTTCCTCTTCTCCACTCTTCATGAGAAGAATTTCTTCCATTTATGTAAATGGGCATCCTTACATTTCAGGCTCTGTGAGAAGGGGAAAAGGAGAAACCAAGCACCCAATTGTCTCTGACGTGCTTCCTGCACGCTCATTATGCTCTTCCCAGCAATAAGCATGGAGGTACTCATCCTTCATGTTAAAAGCAAAGGGTAGCAATGGCTATGCCTAAAAAGCCTCATGTCCACCTTGCTGCAGGGCTCGGCAGCCAGCAGCATGAGGGGGCCCTGGGAGTGTGGCAGTTTGAGGTGTGCAGGGAGGAGCAGCCATGCTGTCTTCTGACAGTGGGGTCTTTTGGAGCTGATGTCCTCTTGTTTAGACCCTGAATCTAAAATAACCCTCTATTTTATTTTTATTTTACTTTATTTTATAGTTGCTTAGGATAGCAATTAGGTAAAGCCTGGTAGGGCTTGAGGGGCAGGTGGGGACCTGGTGGCTCCTGGGGAAGTAATGGCCGCCACTCACTTCTTCACGTGTTGCAAATGGCATATGGAGGGCCCAGGGATTTTTTGGGTTTATTTATATATATTTTAAACCTAGTTAAATAAAACCTGCCTTGCAGTTCAGGCAACAGAGATGCTTGAGTGCTCTCTGACAAGTGTTCGTACTTCAGCAAGTTACTTCGCCATGGGCCTGCTGCTGGCTCTGAGGAGCTGCCCGCCTTACCTTCCAGGAGGAATGTGCTTCTGCGTGACAGCGGCCTGGGGGTGTTTTGCTGCTTTTCTGTGCTTCACAGCTGCAAATTCCAGTTTTATCTCTGCTCGGTGGCTTGGTGGGTCCCTGATGGGTCACTGGAACAGACAGACAGCATTTTGGGCTTTTCCCTTCCCTTGCAGAGGCATTGGCAGAGCTGAAGATGGTGCATAAGTATGTCTCCCTACAAATGAGAGAAGTCATGAAGGGGCTGTATGTTGAGGTTGGTTGTCTCAGCATTTTACATGTGCTGGGGCAAATTACTTAGATGTTACCCTGTGTATGTCAGGTCATCTGAAGGTTATCAGGGAAAGCATAGAGATAAGGCATGATTGTCAATTAGTAGTAACACAGAAGTGTTTAAAAGAACCAGAATAATTTTGTGTATACGTATATTTATCGCTTCCTTCCTTTTGAGAAAGACATTTTCTGAGCCAATTCTTTTTTTTTTCCTATTTCAAAGAAAACTGCTTTCATCAGTAAGATGGAGCCAGATTTGGGCTCAGAAATTGCAGCAGAATGAAATGGATTGCTACTCTCCTCCTCCTGCTGCACATTGTTTTTAAGTAACCTAGTTTTACATAATTGAAATGCTCCCCCCCCAATATTTTTTATTGTTTTATTTTTAATTTTCATTGTTTGAAGTATTTCTATTTATTGTGTTAGCACTGATGTAGTACATACAGTATGTCATGTGATTCAAACATTCTATTAATTAAGCTTTATTTTTTATTTTATTCTAAATGTATTTTAGAGTAGCTTCTGCTCAGTACTGACTGAAATATTTTATCTTCCTTTTCTGTGTCAAAGCATCAAACTATCCTACGAGAGAAAAAAAAATGTTTTGATTGCTACCAGGCAGCAGCTGCCCTTAATGGTTTTAAAAGTAACTATTTCTGGTAGAATAGAAGGATATTTAAATTATGATATGTCATGTTATGAAATGTCAGTGTAAGGCAGTGAATAATTCTATTGATTAATCATGAAATAACAGGAAAATATGAAGTAAAAGAACTTCCATAAGATAGAATATATTTTAAAATGAAAATTCAAAATCCTAAAATTGACTCTGGAAACCAGATTTCATTTAACTCATTTTAACCAGCTCCTAATTGTTGTTTTCCTTCACATTTCCATTTATTGGGAAACTGCTGAAATATTTGGTTTTATCCTTAGATCAACTCCAGACTTCAAAACATTAAAATTTGATGAGAAAAGAAGTTCAGAGCTTTAATCAGCTGTAAAATGAATGTGTGCTGCTGGACTACAGTTGCAAGATGATCTTGGGTAGCTCTTGTCTATATTTCATTACTTCATGCTGCTATACAAATATAGTATAATATCAATGATCATTATACATTGAGAAAATTACTTTTGTGAAACTTGACTGTAGAGATTTTATGCCTAGAATAGAGTTTTATGTTAGAATTTAAAATGTCTTATAAGCTCTATACAGCATCTGATATACAAGATCAGTTTTAAGTATGTGCTTAAGTTCCTTGTGACAGCAAGAGAACTTAAGTATGAGCCTACAAATAAGCAGATGAGTATCCTGTAAAGGCTACCGCATTCCCTTGACCTCTCCTTTCCACTGAAATGCTTGTGGTATTAATGCCACTGCAGCTGCATTGCTGTACAAGGTGGATCATCTCAGAACCAGCCTAACAGGTGAAAAAAGAGTTCTGCAGGTGAACTGGTTCCCTGATCTGGATCACTGTTTGGCTACTTGATTGTTTGCTGCATGAAAGCCTTTAGAATGGAACAGGAGCATGCTAGTGTGCTTTAGGGTAAAGGCAAGAAAGAGGCAAACAGCCTCAGCCAGTGGCAGCATAGATTTGTATTGGGTTAAAATAATCATTTAAGCACAGGCTAAGTAACTTCAAGCTTTGTTTACCTGTGTGCATAAGACTGTTTGGGTATACTAGTTCCTGGCTAACAGAACAAGTAGATACAATGCCATGTGAGAGCAATGGCTACAGATAAACATAACACCCGTTTACTCCACCCCAATCAAACAATTCCAATGTATGTATCCTTTTGTGGCCAAAAATGTGAGCACTGAGAATGCAAAAATGGGAGTACCATGTGATAGCCAATGCCTGTCTACTTTTTAACTCTTTTCTAATCCCTCTCCTGTGACAGCATCTGGTGAAGTCAAACTACTTTCTGTGTGTCTAGTAGATAGCGCCCTGTGCAGTTTAAGTGAATGGAGGGTGCTGACAATCCCAAACCCTCTGTATACATGGGAAATGAGCTGCTGATCTGAGCAGATAAGGGTTGTAGCTTCCAGGATGACCACAAAATTTGCTTAGCTTCATCTCTGAGTGCTGGGGCCACTACCTGTCCCTGCCTGCATAGCAGTGAGAAGACAGGAGTGTTACCTCTGCAGCCTTGGGTACATTTTGGAGTTTCTAGTGACTGTGAGCATTTTACCCTTAGGGGCTAACAGCTGGGACATGTCACAAATGCTCTTTAGAATGTCTGAGGAGAGATTTCAATGAGAACATGCTCTCAGTTTACTCTTCTGGATCCTCTTGGCTTAACATTCACCACACTAGGCCTGGAAAGATTGATTCGTAAGACCAGTACTCAGAACATTTTATCTACCATCACATTAAAATGCATTAAATGCACTTACAGTTAATGGTATTAGATAACTGAATAGCCTCATTGGAATTGCCCTCTGGTTTCTGGGTACTGTCAATCCATCCTGCTTCTGGTGCTGCAGTTAAATGCTGTCACATTCTTTACCCCTTCACACTCCTCCAAGCTTGTCCCCAGCTATTTCTCACATGCCACTGCATAAAGAACTTATTTTGTCTCTGATTTGGTGGTATAATTGCCTGTGTTAGTACTCCATAACCTGTTTCAATCAAAGTGAGGCTACTGTGACAGCAAAACCCTACTGTATAAACTGTTTAAATTAACTTAGCTTATTTTGACTGAGTTGGCAGATAGAAGAGGACAACAGGAGGTCAGTGATCAGTACTGACTTCTGTGATGCTGACTTTGAAATGAGGTGACCAGTGCCTTTTCCCAGCTGCTCCTCTGCTTATGTAGGAAGCTGGAATGATAATCTCTCTGCATTGTTCTGTAGGCCATTTCTCCTACAGCCAAAGTATCTTTGCCACACTCAAATCCCAAGTCAGGACTCATCTGAAGTGGCACACATAGTCCTTTGCTGAGCTGATGCAGTTCTGGCAGAGATCTGCAACAATGAAAGACAGTTTTCCCCTGCCCTGTGCATTATTTATGAGCATTAGATTTTGCTTGGCATCATATAGCTACTGTCCATCCCTCTGGAAAATCTTATTGCCTGACTAACCTAAATAATGGCACTATTTGGCAGTGTGGCTGTCTCCCTGCCTAAATTCCCTTTCCAGGTCATCTGTGCCTGTATTTAAAGAAAGCAGACCTAGCGTGGCACTGGAAGGGTCTCATTGCCACCTTTGGCCATAAGGAAAATTGACTCTTCGTTTTCATATTGTTGCTTCCTGATTTTTAAATCATTTTTGCTGCATGATATTACCTGGACTCGCAGCCTAAGATAATTTTGAGGATGCAAGGTCCACATGCTCTAAAAATTTCAAGGGGCTTTTATTTTAAATTTGGTCTGGCCTGGTCCCATAACGTGACCACCTACCAGCAACTGAAGTACATTCAGTGCATTCCCAGAGTGCATCTTCTGCTATATTCTGAGAAAAATTTAGATTGTCTTCTCTGCGACATGAACACAGCATATGAAGTGAAGATGAAGAGATTTGCTTTAAAACCATGCCCCTGATAGGAACTGAAGCACTAACGCAGACAAATCCTGAAAGGACCTCTCGTTGATTTGTTTTAATGCTTTGGGCTATTTATTTTTCAAACTCAATTTTGGCTCTTCTGATTTCCCGCTTGTTTTTTTTTTGTTCACAGTCATTTATCATTGTCTTCATTATGACTAGTTTTCCAAACATGCAACTGCATGCTTGTCCAGCCTGAATAGCCTCTTGAAATTTCCCATTTAGCCATACGCTATTTCCTTAGGGTATTTCATTAATGAACTACCATTGCTAATGATGATTCTGTGTTGGCCCCAGGTGGTTTGTGTCTTTTCCATTTCTAATTTCAATGATTTGTGAGTCTGTACACAGTACCTCTCCAGTTTCCTCCTGCCCTCCCTCCCCTTCATGTAACAATTATACATTTATGAATGCATTTGTCATAGTTGATTATCTAGGACTTACAACATGCTTGTTTCACAAGTGTCATTTCTACTCTATTGTTCCTTAGGTCCTTGTTCTCATTTGCTTGGAAGCAAGACAGAACGAGCAATTACTGTCAGCTGCTTCACAATTGAAATGAGGGACCGGCCTTCTGAACTGTTCCAGGAGATGGAGCAGAGCAGTGCACTTTACCTTGATGAAGAACCTTCCTGAAGTTTATATATGGTCTCACAGTAGTGTGAAAGATGACTGTAGGGAAGGTAGTTCAGTAGCTAGGAAAAGTCACCTCAAAGTCAAATGGTCAGAAGCGGATTGAGAAGTTAACTGAGTGCCGTTTATTTTCATGATAAGGTTGTAGAAGACATTTGGAACTCGACTTTGCTAGCTGCCTGTCACCACAGACCTTTTAAATTTCACTTTTCAGAATGCACATATTCATTTTGCAGGTGGATTTGCATAATCCAGCCTGACAGATGCACGCGCAATTAGATGGCTGATTATATGTGAACAATTCACTGAGTTATTATCTCATTTATGCTCAGCAACTGGGAGACTGCAGGCAGATATCATTATAAGAACTGGATTCTTTACTGAAAAATTGTCAGTTCTGGCATTTTCCTGGTCACCCTTTGCAGTCTGTAAAATCAAGAAGTGTGTCAGCTGTCTAAAAGAAGCCTACATTTTGACTCCCAAGTTCAGCCATGTTCAATGTCACATCAAAATTGCCTAATTATAGGCCTGCCTACTACAGTGGCTTAAGTCCTACTTGTATGCATGAGAACATTTTCGTGAGCACATGTGGTCTGGTTTTCATGGGTGCAGGGCATCAAAAAGACAGTTCATGAAATTCTGGGTTTGGCCTGACTCATCAAATTTTTACCGCAGTGAAAACATTCTTAGGCTGGGAACAAATGTGCTCTGGCAGTTCTTCATCCTGGCGAGTTTGCCTGAGGTGAGGTGTCATTCAGGAGTCAATTCCTTAGATGCATTCCCACCTCTGCATGTTTTCACTGATTCCAGGGTAAAAGCTTTTTTGCAGCTTTGTGGCAAGAGACGAGCCTTGCTGCTGTAGGATTATTTCTGCACCAAACAGCAGGGGCTGCAGGGCAAGGTGGGTAATTTTGGCCCCTGCTGTTCCTTCTTGGCCCCCTCTAAGTGCCAATGTGTTGTTTGATCTAATTCCTGGGAATGCTGTCAGAGATAATCGATCCCAATTTTGTTGAATGTGCTCAGCTTCCAATTAAGGCTCTGCATGCAGAGAGATCTAGTGCAGATAAGGTATGCCTTGTTTACTCCTTAACCAGATGGGTGTACCAAAGGGAAGCAACACTTACTCAGGTACTGCAAGCTGCTCCTCAGACCCAAGGGATTGAGAAGCATCCATCTTGTCTGAATTTTTCATGTTGTTCTGTAGGAAAACTATAATAAGCTCAGGTTTCCCTTACAGCTGAGCCTTTACTAAGGCAAAATTGAATTAGTCTGCTCATTGCGTCTTTTATGGCCTGATAAATAGCTGTCACAGCAAATGGATTAGGGCTTGCTAATGCTGATTTTTTTTTTTTCCTTTTTTTCTTCTTTTTTTTTTGTGTGTGAGAAATCTCAGGCCTTACATCCCATCTCTTAGCTGGGGGTTTCTCTAAATGAATGAGGTATCACTTGAGGTTGAAACCTAAACTGCTGCTCCCCTTCCTTACCCCCAAGGAAGGGGGACTAGTTGGATTAAGCTAACCCTCTTGACTCAAAACCTCATTGACTTGGATATTAAATGACATTCCAGATGGGACCACACCAGGAGCTCTGTGCTCTGTTCTGGGCATCGCAATACCAGAATGGGCCTCTTCTCACTCCAGTTTCATTTGTAATGTGGGCTGTGTGGTGCTGTAGGGCAATGTTTGACCTAAAAATGAAGGAATTATTTTCATATGTCCCCAAGAGTGGCGCTTTCCGCCATGGTGAAGTTAGTGTCATCTTAAAACAATTGATTAGAAGAAGTAGTGGCATCTTTCCCAGAAACTGTACTCCCTGGCATGAAAACGTAGGATATTTCCTTGATGTAGTAGACTGCATGTGGGAACTGTGAGGGTACAGTGGGCAACTCGAGTTTGGGTTTCTTTCAACAAGCTGAACCTAGGAAATGAGCTGGGAACTGACTGCATCTGACTCAGTCAATGCAGACAGTGAGTCGAAATGGATGGAGAAGGACTACAAACTTGCTGAGGCTTTCTTTTCTTTTCTTTTCTTTTTTTTTTTTTTTTAAGTGTTTTTCTGACCACATGCTCTGGACATCCAACCAGCTGGGTAACCTCCTTATCAGCTGTGGGCTAATAGAAAGGCTTGTGAGGGTTTTGGTTCAGTAGCTAGTGTTTGTCTGTGTGACCTGGGTCAGACAGCACACGGCTATGTGGCAGGCTCAAGCTGTAAACTGTAAGGTGCTTAGGGCAGGGATGTGGACTGAAACTGGGTCTACTGAACAGCAGTTTTGTGGTGGAAATCAGCAGGGCTCCACTGCCTTGTCGTGATGGGTATTACCTGAAATAGAGAAGCAGACCTTCCCTTGTCCACATTGTGTCCACACAATGTGCCGTCCACATTTACGATGGCAGGCAAATAGTGCAGAGCAGCCCCTTGAAGTGTTTTCATGGGGCTTGGAGTGGTGAAGTAGCTGCAGGCAGACAACACAAAGAGTTATTCTGCTCATTGCACCCACCAGCAAGTTGGTGTGAACTCATGCCAGTGCATATGGGCTGCCGCTAAGCAGGGGCAGGTTTTTGGCTGAAACAGCATGGTACATGTAATCTTATTTTAAGATTTGCTCTGCTAAACATGTAGATTCCCTTACTGGGACTGTTGAGAAAACAGAAGCTTAATCTCCAGGGAAGTGCAACATTTCCATGGGGCTGAACCACCTTCCTTCATTCCTTCTTTATTACCTCCTCCCTTGTCTGCTTCACAGCATGCTGTAGAGTGAGTTCAAAAACACACACTGCACAGAGAAAGTGCAGTGCATTAAAATGGGTAGCCCAGTGTAGTAAAACGTGGCAAAGCTTAGCTGCAGGAAGCAAGGCAGGGAATTAGCCTCGTGCTGTTAAGAAATAGATGTGTTTTCCTACAAAAAGAAAACTGTAAATCTGTCTCTCTATGATGTGACAGAAATCCTCACTGGGATGGAAATACAGCTACTAGGGCAGCACAGAATCTCTGTCCTTTCTTGGCACTCGCTCTTGGGCACATCATGATGACTGAACCACGTCGTGAAAACCAGGTGTGGAGGGGAGGATCTCCAGGCTTCAAAAAGTGCTGGCTGGTTTGCAGGGGATGTGACTGCCCTTTTTGGGGAGCTTTGGCATTGCGCCCACATGTGGGAAACCTCCATGCTGAGCATTCTATTTGCTTTTATTCCAAGTGGTGGGGTGGCTGGGGGGGAGGTCAGGAGCTATGTTCAGGGAGTGAGGCTAACTCTCATATTCTGCCTGGGTGAGGTATTCAGCTCAGGGATGACAAATCTGTATCCTGGAAAGCCCCATATCCTGGGCTGCGTCAAAAGGAGCGTGACCAGCAGGTCCAAGGAGGTGATCCTGCCCCTCTGCTCTCGTGAGACCTCACTTGGAGTATTTTGTATACTTCTGGTGTCCTCAAAATAAGAAGGACATGGGGCTGATGGAGCAAGTCCAGAGAAGGGCCATGAGGATGATGAGGGCTTGAGCACTTCCATACGAAGACAGGCTGAGAAAGTTGGGGCTGTTCAGCCTGGAGAATAGAAAGCTGTGTGGAGACCTCATAGCAGCCTTCCAGTGTCCAGGGGGCCTACAAGGATGCTGGAGAGGGACACTTCATTAGGGACTGTAGTGATAGGACAAAGGGTAACGGGTTAAAACTTAAGCAGGGGAAGTTTAGGTTGGTTATAAGGAGGGAGCTCTTTACTGTAAGGGTGGTGAGGCACTGGAAGGAGTTGCCTAGGGAAGTTGTGAATGCTCCATCCCTGGCCAGGTTGGACAGAGCCTTCGGTGACATGGTTTAGTGGGATGTGTCCCTGTCCATGGTAGGGGGATTGGAACTGCATGATCTTAAGGACTTTTCCAACCCTAACTATTCTATGATTCTATTCTATGATTCTGTCCCTGGTGGTCTATACACAGAGTGTGTTGCTGCAATTGTTTTGCAGACGCTGAGGTGAATGTGTGCAAATTTGCACTTCCAAGATTCCCTTGCTCCTCCTCCTTTTTTCTGGCCAAAGAAGCAAACTGGCATTCTCTGGCAGCAGAGCTAGGCTCAGTGTTGCCCCTCTGGGCTGCATGCTGTTTGCTATCAATTCAATGCCATTTGCTATCAGTTCAATATCAGTGTTATTGCTAATCAGCTGTTTGCAGCAGTTTTGAGCTGGATAACAGTTCTTAGCACCAGACTTGGCTCTCTGGGTTTTGGATTGCACTGTATTCAAAAGTTTCTTTTAATGCTATTTTCAAATGCCATTACAACCAAAACACAGATGGCTTAATGCCAGGTTGGAAGGGGCTTTGGGCAACCTGGCCCAGTGAAAGGTGTCCCTGCCCATGGTATGAGGTTTGAACTAGATGATCTTTAAGGTCCCTTCCAATCCAAACCATTCTATGAGTCTATTGCACCAAGCTTATAAGAAAGACAATCCCATAAGACGTAACATTTACATGAACTCTCATCTGACTGCTTATGGAAAAATATCGAGGTGGTTGGTGCACTAGGGCAAATTCTGCCTGACCCAATTTGGTGGCCTTCGACAGACTGACAGATGGGGTAGAGCAGTTGACATCATCTACCTGGACTTGTGCAAAGTGTTTGACACTGTCCCACATGACACAGAATCACAAAATCATAGAATTGTTAGGGTTGGAAAGGACCTTAAGATCATGCAGTTCCAACCCCCCTGACATGGGCAAGGACACCACACACTAAGCCATGTCACTCAAGACTCTATCCAGCCTGGCCTTGATACTGCCAGGGATGGAGCATTCACAGTTTCCTTGGGCAACCTGTGCCAGTGCCTCACCACCCTGACAATAAAGAATTTCCCCTGTTTAAGTTTTAACCCATTACCCCGTATCCTATCACTACAGTCCCTCATGAAGGGTCCCTTTCCAGCATTCTTGTAGGCCCCCTTCAGATACTGGAAGGCTGCTATGAGGTCTTCACACAGCCTTCTATTCTCTAGGCTGAACAGCCCCAACTTTCTCAGCCTGTCTTTGTATGGAAGTGCTCAAGCCCTCATCATCCTCATGGCCCTTCT